TGGACTCCCGCAGCGCTGATCTCCACTCCTAAGTACTGGACCGACGACAGCAGGAACTTGCATTTGGCCTGCTTCAAGACCAGCTTCCAGCTTCTCAGTCTTTGCAGAGTCTGGTCCAGCCTCTTGAGTGCCTCTTCCTTCGTAGCTCCAGCCACCAGAACATCATCCAGGAAACACATTGTTCCTGGTGAGTTTTCCAAAATTTTCTCCATGGCCCTCTGAAATGTAGCAGGAGCCGAGGATATTCCATAGGGGAGCCGTTTCATTTTTAACAGTCCTCGCGGTGTGTTCAACACCGTAAACTTTTGGCTCTCTTCATCCATCTTCATTTGCAGATATGCGGTGCTGAGGTCGAGCTTGCTGAAATACTTCATTCCAGCCAGTTTTGGTAGCATATCTTCCAGGTTGGGCATCGGGTGCTGTGGTACGTCGAGCTGCTTATTGACAGTGTGTTTATAGTCTCCACACAGCCTCACTCCGCCGCCTGGTTTTGGAACAACGACTAGCGGCGTAGCCCAGTCGGAATATTCAATCCGCTCAGCAATGCCCATCTTCTCCCACTTTTTAAGCTCTTCATCGACGGCGTCTTGAAGGGCGTACGGAACCGGTCTTACTTTCCTAAAGACTGGCTCGGCGTCATCTTTGAGCTTCAGCTTCGCTGTCAGATCGGCCATCTGTCCAAGCTCGTCTTTGAACACTTCCTGGTTGTCTGCTAGCACTTTCTTGAGTGTCAGCCGGGAACCGCCGTCTGTTTCCAGTTGGTTCACCGTATCGGTGCGCATCACAAGTCCCAGGAGCTCCGCGGTGGTTCCGCTTAACAAGGACACATCACCGTGCGCCGCAATGATCCAGCAGCTGAGTGCTTCCTTTCCTCCGACTTGGCTTCGTGCCAGGAATTCTCCATCGAGCTTCAGTGCTTCTTTGGTGCCGTAGGGCAGAAGCCGTCTGCTTGTTTTTGTCGCCTTTACACCTTTCAGCTTCTTGAAATCTTTTCGGGTGATAATATCGACGGACGCGCCTGTGTCGACCAGAACTTGGATTTTGGTATTTTCGATCAATATTTCAGTCAGTCCCTGTTTCAGCTTTTCTTGGATGGGCTTCTTCGGTCTGGTGGAGAAAACCAGCTCATCTTCACCCTGTTCAGCGCTTTCTTCTTGTAGGTGGTTTACCCGTCTTCTAGGTTCCAGAGTTGTCTGTGGCTGCCGTGTCTGAGTAGACCAGCAAGCCCTGGCAAAATGATTTTTGCCGCCGCACTTGTGACAGGTCTGACCCTTCGTTGCGGTACAGGCGTTTGAATTATGCCCTCTTCGTCCGCACCGAGTGCAGGCAGGAATTCCGCTTCCGGCGGTAGTTCGCTGTCCCTGTCCGTTGAATGGCTTGGATGGAGCTCGATATTTCTGTCGAACTCTGTTGACGTTTTCGTTTTGTGGCTCAGACTGCTCAGTTTCTGGACTGGGGTCCTTCTCTTTGCCGTTCTTCTCTTGAAGTTTTTGGCATTGGGTCCGTACTTGGAGATAGGACTCCCATATTTTTACCGCGTCTTCTGTAGTCAGTTTATGGGCTTCGAGCAGACGAACTTGCAAAGTCTGATGGGGACATCTTGCTATGAGTATATCCCGGATCATTTCGTCTCTCTGTTCCCTCGAGAAATTGCATTTATCTGCTTGCTTTCTCAGACGCACAACAAAATCTCGGACGTTCTCGTCGTTATCAGTCATGTTCATGCTATGAAAGATATTTCTCTCGTAAATCGTTCGGACCTGTGGCTTTAACAGCGATCGCAGCTGCTGCTTGGTACGCTCGTACTCATCGGTTCCCTCTAAATTATTTTCGTAGACCGTGTCGATGTCTTTCAGCCGCTGCTGTATGTCGGTTCCAAGTAGATGTAGCATCAAAGCTCTTTTCCGTTTTGGTTCCTCGATCCCAAGCGCACATAAATAGATTTCAAAGGAATCTATCCACATGTCAAAGTCCTCTCCCTCCCTATATTTCTGAGGGGCATCTACACTTAATGCCATTTTAATTTCCGTTACGTTACCTACTTTTAGTAGCGTTAACGTTACGTTAATCGGCGCTCTAAGTTTACGTTACTTTATAACGTTAAATTCATCTCATCCTTGTCGCCATTATGTTATGACTTAATAATCCATGTTTCTTTGTCGCATTTTATTCCCACTCTTTTCTCAGTTCCACACACTGATTTTCCTAAATTTTGAATGTAAAAGTAAAGCACGTGAGTACATGTATGTTGGCCTGATTAACGGAGGTCTGACATTATTGCGAATATGTAAATAATATGATACTTTGTAACAGTCAACTACACAGATAACAGGAGGGTCAACTATACAGGTAACAGGAGGGTCAACTATACAGGTAACACACATCAGGAGGCTCAACTACACAAGTAACACACGACATCGGGAGGGTCAAGTGCACAGGTAACTAACAACTGCCCTCACCGGCTGGATAGGAGGGTCAACTACACAGGTAAACGCCGCCCGTAGGAAGGTCAGGTACACAGGCAACCGCCGCCCTCATCCGACTGGACAGGAGGGTCAATCAGACAGGTAATAAACAAACCACTTCCATGAAGATCAGCTGCATAACCTGTCAATTACAGTAACAGCTGACGAAACCCATCGATCTTTAAAAGGGAAAATGTTAATCGGACAAATGTAAGGAAAATGAGCTAAATATCGCTTCTTCCAGGAACACCGAACAGATTATCATGTAACCTAACCACAGCTACTGCATTGTTGTTATGAACTTTGCACAGGAACAGTGAACACTGAGAACACCCTATCGAAAAACGACAGTCTTTGGATGAAACGAACTTTCGCTTCCTCCTACCACAAAGTGAACTCCGCGATTCCTGACTTGCCTGTACGCCCATTGCAGAGAACATTTCGCCGGTGTGTCTGCCGGGAGTGCTGCGTCCACCGGTGGAGATACCGAGCGAAGACCAGCCCGCCGCCGCCGTCACACCGAATGCCGAGGAGAACGAGTTCATAGTGTCCGGATGGGGCAGCGACGGTAAGTTTGTCCGGTATGAACCGGACAATGCCGGTACTTCCACGGGTGAGATATTTATGGATGAAATGACATGGCTTATGGATGGAACAGTGATTGATGTTCCTCGCAACGTATGCATATGTATTATCATTGTATGTCATGGGTTGTGTTTTTGTCTCACACTGCCATTTCTTGATTGCCACCGGTCGTGGGAGGGTGGGGGCGCAGGGGGTGGGAGGGAGGAAGCGGTCACACATTGACATGACACATGTATCTATTGATGTGTTTGTGTCCCACTGTGACCTGCTAGTGATGTGCCTGTGTCCCATTGTGACCTGTGTACCGCCACTGGCAGGGGTGCGTCACGGCACCAACCGACTGAGGGAGTTAGCGGTCACAAATGTGTCTACTTATGTGTCTAGCTATGTGTTTGTGTCCCACTGTGACCTGTATCGTTACCGGCAGGGGTGCGTCACGGCACTGACCGGCTGAGGGAGGTGACCGTCACACAGGTGAACGGCACAGTCTGCAGACAACACTTCGGCAGGTAACCGACGACATTTCGATAGATACCGAGGGGCGCAATCTGATTTATTCAGTGTCCGGTATTCAGTTCTTCAAACGACAAATTATTCTAGAGCAGCAACCAACGATGACTGATCGTATTGTCGTTATGTGCTGCCCCTCAATGCTGGTGCCCGTTCTTATTTGCTATGGGAGTGTGTACTATGTCGGGAATAAAACACGCACGCTTAGTCAGTTGAGAGTTCTTATCTCAATCACTGGCTATGACAGTGGACAGTGAGATATCGTATCAGGTTATTTCCATCGCCCCTGACAGTCTGGCTACGTTCTTTCCAGGTTCGGTATCCCGGTGCGGGACACCATTCAGCTGTGTGCCGGAGGCCAGGGCGTCGACAGCTGCAGCGGAGACTCCGGAGGGCCACTCATACAGGTCAGTTACGTAGATCAGACTAGCTGACCAACGACCCCTAATACAGGCCTGTAGCGGCTCCGTCGGGCCCTTATACAATATACAGCTCAGTGGCGAGATAAAATATACACCGCATGCATGAGTTTACGCATATTAATTGTGTACGAATATCTACATGGTATTGATGCGTGAATGTATGTCAGCAAGCCCTCGATATGTAATGTGCCCACGTATGTATCATCCCTTCCCCCTGGTGTGACCCCCAGGACACGGGCATGCAGTACGAGCTGGTGGGCGTGGTCAGTCTGGGCGGGGTCATCTGTGGAGGTCAGATCCCCGGCCTGTACACGCGCGTGCAGGCCTACACCGAGTGGATGGCCGCCATCATGGCGGAGGTGTAGAAGACGGGGCGGAACGCTGCGACAACTCATCACAGAGGCGTGCGGGGAGCGTGTGGATATCGCATATTGCGGATTAAACAGGGGCTGACCCGCATTGTGTCAGTGAGGTGTCAGTGACGTTTTGGAAATATCAGTGAGTAATATTGAGAAACCAGTGCGGATATCGTAATGACCAAGATACTTATGTATCTAATGACCAAACATCGATAGCTATCGACGATATTCGTTATAATGCGTCAAGTATAGTCATTTTTGTACTGAAAAAGAAATCTTGATAAAATGGCTCTATCGTAAATAGTTAGACACAATTCGTGTCATAGGCATGTCGCCAAAAACTGTAAATGATGGCTGAAACGTATCTTGTGTGAGACTTCAATGGGGTTACATGAAATACAAAAGATGTACGAAGTGCTGGACTATACGGGACTGATGAGGAAACTATTGCCGCCTGTCACCATACATCTATTGTGAGTCACACGGAGGAAGTTTATGAACGACAGAGGTTGACGTGCAGTTGAGCAGCGAATAAAACAACTACTGGACGATACAGTACCACCATCAGCAAGTGCGTCCACTTCCGGCGAAAATACGATGCTTGCGAGGAAAATTCAAAATAATATCAGCTTTACTAGGTAGTGCGTAAAAAGTCATAATTAAAAGGAAAATGTATTCACGAATTTTAGGTAAGGGATGACTGTTTGAGTCTTAGAAAGTTGCTTCCTCAGTCTACCTCGAAGATGGGATCCTGGCAAGCTTTGTACATTACAGCAGATAAAAGGGTGACCCGCTCCTTGGCACAAACTACACAGTTGACAGTACACATACCTACGACATATCTGCATTGACATTGTACTGGGGAAGCCCAAGAGTTTCATCGGCCCTCTCATCATTCTGCCCCTTTCACGGCATGTTCACACTGTTACAGTGGTTTGTCTGTCCTCTAAATTCCGGTCTGTCTACTTCCAGTCTGTCCAGTGTCCACTGCCATAGTCTGTCCACTTCCAGTCTGTCCACTGCCAGTCTGTCCATTTCTAGTCTGTCCACTGCCATAGTCTGTCCAGTTCCAGTTTGTCCACCGCCATAGTCTGTCCACACTTGTGTCTCTGTCAACGTTTCGCAGTGCTCTGTTCATGTCAGTCCGTCCACGTCTCAGTTCATTCACGTCCATCCACTTTCCAATCTGCCCCAAACCACCGCGGAATCCTAACCCACTAGCCTAGAGCACTGTGACCGCTCCCGAGCGGCCGCGAACCGACCTTCCGTAGCGGAGGACGCGTCCCGACATGTAGACGCGCTACAGCGGCGCCGCCGGTTTTAGCCGACACTCGGTGAAGAACACATGCCGCTGTGCCGATCCGCCACCGAAGAACGAGGCTACGGAGGGGGTGTTTTGCACCGCCTCGTCCATCTCTTCATCAGACTCCTCCCTGAGCAGACAGGAGGTTGTGAAATTAGACACCGGCCTGACACACGCATGACGTGAAAAGTGATAGAAGTCAGCGTCAGCCTGATGAGCCTGACATACGATGAACTCTTTTAAAGAAAAAAGTAGAGAACTAGTTTTTATCGACACCTGCCTAATAACAAAGACTGCGTTTTGAAACTTACAAGTGTACCGGCTATATGAAGAGGGTAAAATTGTCACCGAACAATACAACAGGGAGTGTTTAATCAAGCTAGGAAATTGAACACCCACAAATTTACAGGTATAAACAATGGAAGACATGGACTGGTGAATGGGGAACGATTCACTAGTGCACGGGCTACTACGTTCAAAACAGCGCCGTACAAGATACATGTTCAAGAATAATACAACCCCGTTTCATTCTCAATCACAAAACAGTACAATAAGGCAGATTTGACCCCAGCTGACGCCCACTTACCATTGTACTCCGACGGCAGACTTGTCGAGCAGCGTCTGACAGGTGGACCAGCTGAATCGCACCAGACTGGGGAACCCGAACACGGGGTCCATGCCCTCCGCCAGGAAACGCTTCGTCTGAGGGTCTGGCGACAGAGAACTCCGTCAAGAAAACAAATGATATGAAGGACGAGACGTCACGGCGGCGAAAGAAAGAAAACCAAATATATGATTGGACGTATTCAAACGATAAGCCGCGCAGACCGTGGGGTGAGTAGGCTATGAGCACATGGTGACGAGGCAGAAAATTGCGTCAGATCATAACATTTCATTTTTCTTCTCATTATGAAAAGGTTGTAACCACTGTAACCAGTTCATACCAACTTTTTCACATAAGCTGTGACAAGACAGCTAAAAAGATACACTATTTATTTCGATTAAAGGGACTATCCCACCTTTAACATGGGGTTTGAGTTGAGATAGCCAAGTTTGCGGCGAGGTTCAGAAACCACTATCTATCTAGGTTGCAACCCCCGCGGCCTCTTGGTGTTGAAGAAATTCGTTCCCTTCATTTGAAAATGGGCCTTGTACAAGGCCCTATCTTCAACATGGAGCGACCGTTAGTGTGACGTCACCTCGTTTAGTCATTCTGATTTAAATGGGTTTGTTCGTTGAAAAATCGCTTAAAACTTGGTCTGAACTTTGTTGTGGTGCCTACAGAGTAAAAAGAATCAGCTTTATGACAGTAATGTGGCCTGGGGAAGGAGGTAATTTTGGGCTGTGACGTCACATATTTGAAAGTTTCTGTTTGGAATATGGGAAGCCTAAGATGTTTAATGAAAAATAAATGCCAGAACCGTGTTCCTGGTCATCCAATCTATAAAGTCGGGCACAATTTAACTGGTTTTAACAACATTTTAGAAGGTGGGATAGTCCCTTTAACTTCAAACACCCGCCAAAAACCATCTAAATGTGCGCTCCCCAACATCCACGCAAGCCGTCATGTCAGCGTACGGGCCGGCCCATCCCAAACGCCACACTGCCAGCGCCGCCAACTGACCTGCCGGGTAGCCGCTGCCCAGTTTGGTGACGTCCATCGGCACCGTCTCGGGGCATCGCCAGGTCTCCAGGGCACGGTCGCGCACCACCTTGGCGCAAATACTGGCCGCCGAGACGGTGGGGAAAAGGGCGTCGGCCTTCTTGCTGACTGTTATCTGCAGACCCGGAAAACGAGCCTCCAGCTTGGCCTGCCGGCAGAGCGGAGGTGCTGAAGAGGATAACAGTGTATGGGAAGCATGGTGCGATACATGAGTTTTTATTGCCCCGGAAATGATGACCTTTCCATGGTCACGTGACCCTATTTCACGGCATGCCGCTAGCGCTCACTGGGGCTATTGCGCTTTCGGTTTACACGGAAACATCTATATATGTACTTCATTGTGAGCGTCCAAGTTTCACAATGAAAATGGTTGTTTCGATGGAAACCGAAGGCGTAATAGCAGCGCGTGCCGTGAAACAGGGCCCAGGACGAGCCGCCCTGTATAGACTGCCTGGGAGCGCTCGTGCGCCGCCCGGGGTGGGGCGTGACCGGATCAAGTCGGTCGCCCAGCCCGCCTCAGTGACCTGATCCGCTGTGGGGGCAGGGCGGGGCTCGTCCAGAGTGAGCTGTTCGGAGCATTCGTAGATTCTAACAGTGGGTGAGAAGTTACGAAGCCATGACGGGCGAGCGGCGGATCTATCCTGTTACTCGCGTGGTCAGCCAGAGGCAACTACGCGTTTCTACGACAAACTTTTTTCAAGTGAATCACATCAACCGCAAATACACCATCTCTCCCGTTTATCCAACCGAGCACTTCCCCAGGCAATCAGACAGCATTATAGCGACACAGCCCCCACCAGCTCCCTTCTATCGCACCTGGTATTTCTCCGGCGGACCGACAGTGTCGACAAACACCTGGGTCACATTGACGCCGGCCTCCCGCGCTCGGCTGATGAGTGCGATCGCCGCGTCGTGCGACATCCAGTTCAGGTTGTACTTGGCTCTATGAGAAATGGAGATAAAGAACAGATGATTTGGAGTACCATTGGTGAGGATCCATTAGCACCACATCACTTTTTACACAATATCAACATCCCCAGAAAGGGAGGTTTGACCTTTCAACTACTGCTTAGACCATAACAAATAAAATAGGCAAACATTTTCAGGGATGAGGATGGCTGAAGGACACCAGCCAGTGTAACTTGTAAGAATATCGTACCATTACCTTCTAAACATATTTTGAGATATGAAGCTAGGAGACAGGATTTCTACCTCCCAGCCAATGAAATCAGCATTTTCATTGATCAGAGTGAGCAGTTTCTCCCTCTGGTCAAGGCTCAACGTCTTGGAGTCTGCACACTTCAGCGATTTCAGATCTTCCAGCTTGCTGATGGGACAGTAGGCACAGCCATAGACCATGGGCCCTGTAAAACAAATTAAAACTGTAGCAAAATGACACTTGAATAATTACAAATATAGGCAATCAAATGCAGACCAAAAAGGACTCAACACAAAAATACAGACTTTGCATCATTATTACTTTGCAGTATACCTAATAAGTACATCATTTGATAAGAAGGTAGGGATTAAATTACAATTTCACTTGCTATTCTCCAATCTATGCAAGCTCGACATTACCTTTTTCATTGAAAATGAATAACTGAATATTATAAAAGTGTATGCATAGATCTGATAAAAATATAAAGCTGAGAACCTGTCAAAAATATGAAAAAAACACAGAAAGCAGCAAGGAATTAACCCACATTTTGCCTAAAATAATGCCCATTTTTCATAATGATTCAAAGGATTCAAACTTACCCAAAACAGGACCTCTCCCTGCTTCATCTATTCCAATCATGCATGGTTCAGATTTGCAGATAGCCGGAATATCTGATGTGATCAAATATTTACCAGTGCTGCCACCCTTCGCAAACTCTGCTATCTTTTCCCCGATGTTCATTGTATTTAGGTTCACTGAGGCCCACCGCTCAAGCAGCAAAGGTACCTATATGGATCAATAATGGGATTATGGTATACAATTTATGAGTTCTAAAACAAAAAGGGCAGAAGTATCAACATAAATGATTAGAGATTTTAGAAACTCGTTGAGTACAGGTTGAATCCAAAAATGGAAAAGTTATCGATATAAACCCGACACAGACAACAGCGCACCGACGATACGTTTTAGGGCCCAAGGTATACCAATATAAAAACACTTCAGGGCATTGATAACGAGCGGGCGATCGAGCTTGACGACGGAAGACCCGCGCATTTTGCGCGACTCCTGTTCGAAAACATTTCACAAGCGAGTGCTAGCGGTATCAGTAAGAGGACGTCAGAGATTCAGACAAAAATAAAGGTAGATTTCAAACACTTCGACACATTTTATGACCAAAAAAATGTTTAAGTATCTCTTTTGAAAATGCGATACAATGGTTTTAGCAAAAACATTGCCCACAGAAAGTAAGCTAAAAGAAAAAGATAAAGATAGTGAACAGGCACCAGCGCAATTACTGGAACAAAAGCGCAGTTTATGAAATTCTAAGAAAGGGACAGTGTATCGAAATAAATATAATGTACCCTATGTGATCTTCTCTGCGAGATTTAGCGGCACCTACAGAGAAATATAATGTAAATAAGATACTTTCTTACCCCTTGCTTAGCAGGTAAAGCGACAAAGACACTCAGTCTCCAAAAAAGGCGTGCCTCATCCCGACCGTCATTTTTTTAAAGTGGTCTCACGCCGAACATCTGCAGTCCACACCAAGATTACGATCTACACTAGTGATGTCAATTACGGAAAATCGTGATACCGATACCAAACCAAATACCAACAATATCAATTGAAAAATACCGAAACCAAACCGACTTGGGAATATGAGGAAAATACCAACTTTTTACCAAATTCTCAGCCTCTTGTACATTAGTGAGGATTCATAATACCAACAAAATACCAAATGCACTCGCCTTGAAATACCAAATACCAAGTTGGTATCGGTTTGGTATCGGTATACCAAAAAGTTGGTATCCGACTGACATCTCTAATCTACACGGCCTTTCTCAAACTACTCATTGGTCAAAGGATTACTGGAAGCTTATCGGATCATCTTTAAGGGTAGCACGCTCTAACATTCAAAAAATTGCGACTTCAAAATGAAACAGTAACTATAGCATACGTAGTTGAACTCAGTCCGTGACTAGTAAAAAAATATCCGATCCGATATATCGCCTTTATTCGAGTCTCCATAAACGCGTTACGATCCAGTTCCAACGGCAACGTCAGCATATTGGTGACACAGTTCTTTCCGACCGGAAACGAAATCAGAAGTTCCGCTCCGTCTTCAGCTTGTTGGGCTCGCGATCCGAGGCCGTGATCCGGTCGAAGCGCTTCCTCTTGAACTTCTTCTTTTGCCTGGGGAAGCCAGAAGGTAGTTCGTCAGAGATCACACTGGCGGAGAGCATTCGATGGGGAATACTTGTCCGTCCTAAAAAATACCAGCTACCAATTCAAAACGAAAACTTATGTCTAGAAATCCTGAGAAAAGTTTTCTAGCAGCACAAGCGCTAGTTCCGCAATTAGCAACAACCGTTACCGGTTAATAACTTAGCTCCCGCCCCGAGAAATCATCTGAGCCCTGCCCCACCTCCCAGCATCGCATATAATCATCCCACTGAAAATAACCAAGTAATTCAGGGCTATCGCTAATCCCAGAAAAAAATCCATTACGTCCCTCGCCATCAAAAGTCAGAGGTAAAATGATCACCAAATTATGCCCCCCATTTTTCTAAACATCGTCCCAGCTATTGGCTTCACCCGGGGAGCCCAGTCCCGCCACCGCCTCCCCGGCTCTCCCAGCACTCCGCAGCACTCACGTGGTGCGCACGCGCGGCTCGATGATGTTCCTCTTCTGCAGCGACTTGAAGCGCTCCTGGAGCGGGTCGCCCTCCACGCGGATGTTGCGCAGAGAGCCCGGCAGCTCCTCGGTCAGGTTCAGCTCCAGCGACGTCGGCTCGAACCGCTCGCGGCCCAGCGTCAGCGGCTGGCTGGCGCGCGCGCACTGGCGCTCCAGCCGGCGCGCCTGGCGCTCGACGGTCCGCGCCTCGCGCGCGCGCAGCTCCTTGGCGATGGTGCGCACCCTGCGGGAGACGTGAAGGGAGAGGGGAGAGATGAGAACGCAGCACCGACAGTCTGGATAGGGACGATCGGGAAGGGAGTTCCGGCATCCAACGATACTGAAATACAAACGGTAAAAAAATATTCCGATAAAGACATCTACAATAGATTAAAAAATGTCTGAACCGATTGACACAGTTGACAGAAAAAATATGGTCTTCGAAATTTACGAACTCGAACTGTTATCAATACAATTTAAAATTTCAGTCGAGGGAAAGCTGAAAACATCTCGGAAGCTTGTGCAAGTCCCACTCAGCACCTCATGCCTCCCAGTCAGCCGGACGTCGGTACCCCGCCTCCCCTACCACCAGCCAGCAGCCTCATCGTACCTGAAGACCTTTCCACAGCCAGGTGTCGTACCCTCCCCTCCCCAGTCGGCCGGGCGTCCTCCCCCCTCCCCCCACATTCCTCAGCCAGCCGGGTGTCGAACCCTCCCTCCCCCCAGCCAGCCTGGTGTCGTACCCTCCCCTCCCCCAGCCAGCCTGGTGTCGTACCTTGCCCCTCCCCAGCCAGCTAGTAGTCGTACCCTCTCCTCCCCCAGCCAGCCGGGCGTCGTACCTGAACACCTCGTTCTCCGAGCGCCGGGTGGTGACGGCCGCCAGCCTCTGACGCTCGGCCACCTCCCGCTCGCGCATCTTGCGCCGCTGCTGCCGCGTCTTCGGCTTGGGTACCTTCTTTACGAGCGTCACGGATTTCTCCTCATCGCCCTTTTCCTCCTCGTCTTCTCCGAGGCCTCCCGACATCTCCTTAATCCAGTCGGCCTGAGCACACACGAGTCACGACATGAGTGAGATTCCCATCCCATTACGCAGAGGCACACCATAAACTATACGTAAAGGCACACCATATACAGGGTGGAAAGTAATTACGCGAACATACTTTTTCGTCTTATAGCAATGGAAAAAGCGGCGGTGACATGAAAATTTCATCTTTTCATATACCGTAAACCGGGGTGAGTTGATATGGGGTGGTGAGTTGATATAAATTGCTCGAAAAATGTTAAAATGTGTGCTGCTCATCCATTTGTAAACCAATTTTTAGTTTTATTTTTCTGTGAAGTGAAGCAACCAATAAGTGATGCATATAGCTGAGAAAGGCATGCATGTGGTGCAGTGCCTTCTTAACACATTACTTTTTTCAAAGTCCTTTTTTTCTTCTGATTTTGAAACTAAGGAAAAGTCCCCACCCTACAGCAAAGACGGTGGATATTCATGGAACAACATGCACTGGGAAAGAAACTACCATCAATTTACTGTTGATCCCAGGTAGTTTTGGGTTTCACTTATAACAACGCTTTTTTATAATTTTAAGAAAAGTGACAGGTGGTGAGTTGATATGCCATCAAGTGGTGAGTTGATATGCATGATAAAAGCTGATACCAGGCTGGTATGCATGCAAATTAGCATGAAATATGGGTCTGCAAGTAAGACAAAGTCAATTAGACCAACTCTTCTCCTTTTCTCTCCCGACATCATTCCATCAACCCCCAAAAGCTTTAGTTTTTTCTGAATGCTTGAGACGAGGCCTGCTAGTATTACTGATGTTAGTTGTCGGACTTCCGTCCCCGTCTTGAGTTGAGATGTTAGTTTCACAATGTTTCAGCAAGTAACTTCTCCGGCCATAGTCAAATCTGCCTCGATAGTGGAGTGGTTAGAACCGTGGACCATCACCGGGGAAACCGTAGTTCGATTCCCGCTGACTACAGGAGCTTACGAACGGTTGGACGCGTACGGCGCAACGCCACTAACATCCAGGTCCTTCTGAGGGTCAAAGAACACCTGACGAGTGACGACGGACGGAGAGTAACTGGCCGAAACGTTTGAAACTAACATCTCAATTCTCAACTCAAGACGGGGACGAAGGTCCGACAACTAACATCAGTGACCCCAAAGTTTTTTTTTCTGTGGACATACCTAACATGCAAAAGGCACAGCACAACTCCCTGTCAAGTCTCAAGATGGCTCCCTACAAGCTACAAAGGAACACTATAGAACACCTATATACATACAGATTAAAAAAAAAATATTATAATTATTCGTGGTTTCGAAAATGACAGAACTGTCGTTTCTGTATGGCTAGCAGCGCGGGAATTCTGATCTCGTGAAACTGATTAGTTTTCCTGCTTGGCAGTTGCCAACCGAGAATGAGTGACAAAATGAAATGGAACAAACGATATAAAGAAATTGACTGGTGTTTTAGCCCTCGCCCGTATTCGTGTTTTGCCAGCGTTTGACGTATAGGGGGGGGGGGGGGGGGGGGGGGTCCGTTGGAATCCCATCGCCGTTTGGCCCCTGGTGGAGCTAGAGCTTCGAGGAAAAAACGAGCGTGTTGCCCGAGACGCGAGGAAGCCGATGATAACCAACTTTAAGGTCCTAGGTCATTGGTAAACCTTCCAGGCCAGGTCAATTACCCAGAAGTGGGGAAAATAAGGGGTTATTTGAAGTTCGTAAAGCGAGGTTATTATTTTTTGGCTGTTGCTGATCACGAATTTCATGTTTGTTTTGATCACATGTGTATTCGTACATTTAGGCCAGGCCAGGTCAGGTCAGGTCAACCAGTGGGTGCCCTGCCGGCTATCCATAGGGAGTGTCAAGTGTCAACTACCACTGACGGTGTCGTAACATGTTACGAATTCACTAAAACTACTTCGTAAATGATCAAATGCATGTTAAATTCGACATCGGCCCGAAAAAAACTACCCTAGAAACATGTACAACTCCAAAAGTGAGCCGAGGTCACCAAAGGTCAATGACCTGACCTGACCTTCAGGTGACCTTGACAGTTGACACCCACAATACTGCATGGGACCAACATCATTTACATGTTTGGACGTTACAATCACAAAAAGACTGGAAATGCGCGGATAATGTGAGCCGACTACGCCAAATCGCGATTCCGGCCAAGCATGGTGTCGAGAATCAGGTCACAAGTCAAAAACCATTTGAGTCAGGGTCATGAAATCTTTGGAACATGTGTAAAATTGATAAACTCGAGAGGCACTGAAAGTTTCGTCGCGATCGGCCGCTTTTTGCGCGAGTTATGTGCGAAAAGCCGAGGTGGTCCGTTCGCCCACCTATAAGTGCGAGGGTTAATTTTGGCTTTTGATGCCGAATTCTGTTTTATGTCGCTCATTTCACCTGATAGAATACAGTCCGAATTAGATTCGCTTCACTTCACTTCATAAATATTTTGTTGACTACCAGTCCACAAAAGCTCAGAAGTATATGTATTCTTTCATTTCAATCCATTATTTCTGTCAGAGGCATATCAACCTTGACCCGCAACTGACGATGTGTTTTAATTACAAGAAAATACACTTGTAATTCAAAAATATATTGCCAGTTTTGATACCGTTGGCTTGAGGACACGTGACTAGCCAAGTTCAGAATGTTTTAAGTAAAACTAAGTATCATAAAGCGAAAAAATGATGCTGCTAAAATCAAGCAATTTGGATAGCGCTGTGTTGGACATGATTGCGTTTTCATGAATGTGAGGTCTGCTGCCAAACTACTATCATTTTTCTAATGGTTTCTTTCAGGATGTGTTCTCTCATCTTTTTTTTTTAAACACTGGCATTTTATCAACTCACCTCTGAGCTTCTTTAGCCGAGAAATTTGAAAAATCCAAAATCATATCAACTCACCCCCTGGGGGGTGGTGAGTTGATATGAACTTTGGCGTTTTAAAAAAGGGGCTTAATATATACATTTTTCATTCATTTTTGCTGATTGCCTCCCCAAGGCATGTGCCATGAAACTGGCACAAAAAGAATTCCGTAAATGAATGTGGCTTTTAAAGAAATCTAGAATAACCTCAAAATCCATATCAACTCACCCCGGTTTACGGTATTCCTATTTATGTGCGATACACTGACAAAGGCGTTCAGGCATAATTGACATGAGGGGCGTTCCACGACAAATCGACAAATAAAAAATTAAATTTGCACCCTCATATTTTATTTTTCGTTGAAAACTGGTGTAAGGGGTTGTGATGGGCGGGGAAGCCAGCTGTGGCAAGGATTTTTTTCTTCGAACAACGGTTTCCGAGATATAGCCTCGGGCAATTCCAGCAGGTCGCGCTGCAGCCCTATGATTGGCGGCCTATAACTCAGAAACTATTGGTTTTCTACGATAAAAACTTTATATGGTTCAACTTACAATCAACCAACAAACATTTTGGCCATCTCGGATTTTCAATTTTTGAAAATTTTGATCACGTGACCTTTTGACCTATTTTTCGAAGAGTGACCTTGATATTTTCCCCACTGAAAGTTGCAATTTTGTCTGATGACGATTAAAGCCTTATCAATTGTCATTCATATGCGAAAATAAAAAAAGTGGATATCGCCCTGCGTTGACCTCAGGTCAGGTCATTTTTATGACCTGTCCATTATTACGAGCGGGAGCGACAGCGAGATCTCGAGAATAAAGCAAGATAGCGACAAGCGGTAAACGGTGCAGGGTACAAATGGATAAGGTCTATAATTTTTACTGAGGTCATTTTCAGGTCAGGTCAAAGATGACGTCACAGGAGCAAAAAGGAAGTCAAAATTGCGGCACTACATATATATGAAGTTTTTCTCGAATAACTTTCAAGGTATCCCAGCTAGGAACAAACTAATAGCACCATCGTGATCCTCTCGTCGATCCGCATCGAAATATATGTATGACAGTATGTTGACCTCGAAAGATCGAAAGGTCAAAAGTTGACCTTAGGTCACGTGACGAGCGGGAGCGACAGCGAGATCCCGAGAATAAAGCAAGATAGCGACAAGCGGTAAACGGTGCAGGGTACACACGGATAAGGTCTATAATTTTTATTGAGATCATTTTCAGGTCAGGTCAAAGATGACGTCACAGGAGCAAAAAGGAAGTCAAAATTGCGGCACTACATATATGAAGTTTTTCTCGAATAACTTTCAAGGTATCCCAGCTAGGAACAAACTAATAGCACCATCGTGATCCTCTCGTCGATCCGCATCGAAACATATGTATGTTGACCTCGAAAGGTCGAAAGGTCAAAAGTTGACCTTAGGTCACGTGACTTAAGGTCAACTTTTGACCTTTCGACCTTTCGAGGTCAACATACATATGTTTCGATGCGGATCGACGAGAGGATCACGATGGTGATATTAGTTTGTTCCTAGCTGGGATACCTTGAAAGTTATTCGAGAAAAACTTCATATATATGTAGTGCCGCAATTTTGACTTCCTTTTTGCTCCTGTGACGTCATCTTTGACCTGACCTGAAAATGACCTCAGTAAAAATTATAGACCTTATCCATTTGTACCCTGCACCGTTTACCGCTTGTCGCTATCTTGCTTTATTCTCGAGATCTCGCTGTCGCTCCCGCTCGTAATAATGGACAGGTCATAAAAATGACCTGACCTGAGGTCAACGCAGGGCGATATCCACTTTTTTATTTTCGCATATGAATGACAATTGATAAGGCTTTAATCGTCATCAGACAAAATTGCAACTTTCAGTGGGGAAAATATCAAGGTCACTCTTCGAAAAATAGGTCAAAAGGTCACGTGATCAAAATTTTCAAAAATTGAAAATCCGAGATAGCCAAAATGTTTGTTGGTTGATTGTGAGTTGAACCATATAAAGTTTTTATCGTAGAAAACCAATAGTTTCTGAGTTATAGGCCGCCAAACATAGGGCTGCAGCGCGACATCCAGGAATTGCCCGAGGCTATATCTCGGAAACCGTTGTTCGAAGAAAAAAATCCTTGCCACAGCTGGCTTCCCCGCCCATCACAACCCATTAGACCAATTTTAAGCAAAAAACAAAATATGAGGGTGCAGGGCACTTGTCGATTTGTCGTGGAACGCCCCATGAGCAATAATACAATGATCAATGTCATTCATGCTCTTATATTTGTTCGGGGTGAAGGTGTATGCCTGGTATTGTGTTTATGATGGTAAGGATGCGCCATATACATACGATATTGCAAGAAAATTCTGCTTTGTAGACAGGTTACAATAAAAACTGCTCAATCCCGGGATCCCGGGATATCCCGGGATTGCATTTCTAAAATCCCGGGATCCCGGGATTGCCAAAAAGTCCCGGGATTATCAGCCCTAATGAGCATGTCAAGCACTGTTGGCCAAAGCTTAGTAAACGCCTCCTGGAGCTGTCTGGTGAGGCAATCAATGTTGGTGGCTACTAGCAGCTCTTAGACGCTCTCCTGAAGAGTCGCCTGGATATTTTTGATCAAATTGAGGTCTGGGCTATTCCCAGATTGACCATTATATGCCCAGAAGAAGAACGGGTTCTCAAAGCACCAGTCTTGCGTCTTTTTGGCCGTGAGAGGAAGGACTTTATCAATCATGAAGAAGAGTTTCTTTGCGTCGGGCACAAAAGTGCGCTCAATCATTTTGCCCCTTTTGGTGCATTGATGGATTAGATAAAGAGACTCGTCTGGAAGGATGTTCCACTAGTTGTATACTTTATTTTTGGTGGCCTTGTTGGTCACTACATGCAATTCTGACACCATCCGGGCGCTCATAACACCCTGATGTGTGTTCCTTTGCCGGATGTTTGAAGGTTGGGACGGGCGGGACGTCGGACGCATCAGCAGCCCCCAACGCGTTGTTCTGCAGGTTTGACGGATGAAATAGCCTCGAAGATGTCTCACCCAACCACAAAGCCAGCTGCCTGTCCTCCTCTGTTCAGGTTTGGCGGTCTTAAGAAAACCTAAATTGACAATCCTGCTGTTAATTCATGAATTTCGGCAATCTCGATTGTTTGTACGGCTTGATTTTCGAATTTTCACAGATTTATGTATGAATCGTGATATCTTAGATCGGGTACCCGGCCAAAGTAAACCATTTCGCCTGTTTTCGGGTCGACTGTTGTCGTTTGGTCGCGGAAATGGTGACCACCCATTCGGCGCCTGAATTCGCCGAGGTTTTACTGCCGCCAACGGCTTTGCTTTTTAAGTCCTCTTAAGTTTTATTATGCTTCAACCAAACGTGTAATTGAGTAATGCTGGTGCCGAGACCGTTCCGAGTCCCTTCCGCACCAATCCAGCCAAAATAATCACAAACGCTTTCCCTGGCAGCTTCAAATTGAGATCTTTACCCATTTTGGTCTTGAGCAGCGTATGGCGTCAGCACCACTCGAAGCCGAGAGGTGTTGTAGACCTTCCAAGTCATTTTTCAAAGTAAGGTCACTTTTGTTAGATGAGGCGACAACAAACACGACCAGTCATGTTCCATAACAGCCCGCGCTCATACAAAATCTCCACTGACGGGCGAAATTGTAAGAAAATACATGTTCGCGTAATTACTTTCCACCCTGTATGTACTTATCCTCACAAGCAAGCGAAATGTTTCATTGTGGCGCTTATGCTCTTAAATATATCGCCAGACTAGGCACACTCATCTATTCAGCCTGTTACAAGCGGCATACCGCATCGAGACCATCCAGTCCCCGATAACTACTTTTTATGGGTCGACCATTACAATGTGGGTCTCGCATGATAATGGGTGATTACGACAGCCGGCAAAAAGACAATTTAGATATTTGTTGCGGATATATGCAAGGAAAAGGTGTACTGAATGACGATTTACAAGTTAATCGCAGGTATGGATCCATGACAAGAACGGGATAATAATCCTGATATTTATCAATTTAGCACCAATGGTCGACCTGGCAAAAGGGGCGCAGCTAGAGATTGCAATCCCGGAACGTTTTGCCAATCCCGGGATCCCGAAAGTTTTTTTTTCGGGATCCCGGGATCCCGGGATCCCGGTCTTGTCACTAAAGGTCGTAAGAATAATTTCCTACAGACATATTTTGCGTCTTTTAGCTTACCATAAACAAAGAGGTAACCAAAAGCCATCCTTACACCATGTCATTTGCAATAAACACGATTGAATTTGCGAAAGAAACGTTTCGATTTGATTAGCATAAGGCCAATTGGCCTGAATAAAACTGTGCGCCGACCTGTGCGTTTACTATCTCGTCATTAAGACGGATTCCAGCACATCCACGCCTCACTCACTCTTCGTCTACGCTACTCGTATTTAGCGCGACAGTTTTAAGCCATTGCTGGTAGGTCTGTCTATTTTAAAACTCGCGACCAGCGTACGCCAAATTTTGCAGCTCCCCATTGCACAATGTTTTCAAGACGTCGCTTGGTCACTTCACCTCCTTCCGGTTCCGCTTTCATCACTAATGTCTCTCAGACTTTGCTCCAAAGTCGCTTTGAGGGCAGAGTCACTGACTGGGAGAGCTCCACTCTACCGTCTTCCACGTTTGAATCAGTGAGCTCTGCCGTCACTTGCGTGACATCTGTGACATCTTTCTGCGACACGAGCTCAAACACTGTCTTGATGACCTCTTTTGTCCCGGCCACGGACGGACAAGTCAGAATCGCTGAACGATCCGTGGTCCTGATTGAGATGTTGCTGCACTGATGCTGCAATTTTTTGGCGTTGGGGACCGTTTGTCGTACACATTTAAGCGACTTCTCCGCTGTGGGTGATACCCGGGAGCTACCAACACGGTCAATTGTGGACGGCCGATACGGGGTGCCACCTAAATAGTTTCTCTGCTTTATGTCACTCAGCACCATGAACACTAACAGTGTAAACAAGACTCGTGCAGCGGCTGCATTTTTTATGGTGAAAAACTGATATTTTCGAGATCCCGGGATTGGCGGAATTTCGGGATCGGGATCGGGATTAAAATCCCGCCGGGATCCCGGGATCCCGATCCCGGGATTGCAATCTCTAGGCACAGCTGACGGCGTGTGATACTGTTGCGTAGAAAGCCATCACGTACCTCTGTGGGCCGCCGCGAGGGGAACTTGGCGGTAGTCTGGCGCTCCCAGCGCTGGAAGTCGGCCTCCTTCTTGTGTTCGACCAGGACCGCCTCCTCGAGAAGCGCCGAGTGATCGGCTGCCTCCGGGTGGTACGACTGACCTGGGGATAGATACCGGCGAGTCGGGTCAGCGTATGTCTGAACTGGGAGAGGAAAAGGGGCCTGGCACAGTACGACTGGCCTGAGGAGTCGGTTCGGGTCAATGTACGACTGGCCTTGGGGTCGATAAAGAGGCCACGTAAAGGAGCAACTAGCGCCCTGGGCTCAGTGCAGGAAGTCGGGTCAAGGTGTGACTGATGTGAGGGAAGGTACAGGGCCTGGTCGAGGTGCGACTGACCAAGGTACGGCTCTCGCGAGATTAAGCGGTAGGCTTTGCACATTCACATTTCCGGTTACATCTCAGAAACTAATCGATCTACGATGAAGCCATTTTACACGATCATGGCCGGCTTGTTACCCAACAAGTCGGTCGCATCTTCAACACTCAAACGCTAAGACGACGAAGGCTTAGCCTGAAGTACACTAAATTTTCTAGATGCAAAACCTACCGCTAAAACCCGCGAGACCTGTACAGGGTTCGGATCATTGTATACCATTATTTTGAACACTTACCATAGCTAGCCTGAAGTTTGAGGGAGGTGAGTATAATCTTGAACAGGAAATTGTTACTAACTCAACAACAAATCAAAGAGCTGATGACTTCGCTAGCGATCTATTGATCGCTGATGCGAGCTGACGACTTCGCCTGAAATCTTCGACTGACCTGGGAGAGCAGTCAAAAACTGATCTGGGATGTCAGAGACTACCTCCATTACAACTGACCTGCGTGCGGCGGCTCGACGGCCGGCAGCAGGGACCTCTTCACGCGCATGTAGAGCGGCCGGCGCACGGTGCCCTCGGTGCGGCAGCGGCGCATCTTTCGGAGTGCCGGCTCGAGCCAGTCGCCCGCCGGGTCGGCTGTGAGATACGACAGACGGTGGGAGGGGAGGGTCAGACACCGACACTAAGAAGCCTGGGGGTGGGGGGACGGGCGGCAAAACACAATATTAAGCATGAACTAGCTAACGCGAGTCGTGAAAGACACTCACAGAATCGACGGTGCCCTTCATAATTGAGCTAGGTAAGCATAGTCACTTATCAGTCATTATCTCATTTTTCATTCAAAATAGTTATCAGGTCCTGTCTGGAAAACGAAAATTTTGCTGGCCAAGATAATTGACATTCGTCTTTCAATGCACGATAGGCTATCTACGATGCATTTAGAGAGGATCGTTTTAAATTTCGAGAAGATCGTCTTACCAGTTTCGTCGTCTGCCCATGGGTCCTTCGGAAGCTGTTTCTTCTTTTCCTCTCCTTTCTTCAAAGCAATGTCATTGGACACAGCAGCCAGCAATTCGCTCGCAGCCTTCTTCCTGTTTGTCTTTGCTTTGATATAATCTGGTCGTTTGTCCTTGATGTAGTTGCTAAAAGAGAAAGCAAGGAATTATAACTAAAAGCAAATACCAATAGCATAGCACTGCGAAACATGAGATAATACAAAAATTAAAAAGTGAGGACTGAGGGCACTAGTGACTTGTAAGAAACTGACTCCTTTCACTGGCAGCATGTGAGTTTGAGGCCTCTCTTTATAGTGGATTTATAATTTCAAACACTGATGAGCATGCAATGAATCAACAGGTTTTCTGACTTACTGTTTCACTGGTACTTTGGCACCAGGGAGGCCCTTCAGGTTCTGAAAGCATCTCAGGTTGTCCTGGTCGACCTTGGGCCGTTTCGGTCGCTTCTGACGCAGCAGAACATCAGGATCGGCCTCATCCGGGCTCTTGTCGATGGTGAAAATTTCATCACTCTCCTTCTCCGATACAAGACCACTGAAAAAGCATTGATAAGTCATGAACTTCTATTACTTGCATTCACATAGATGTGTGCCTTCATTCAACAACAACATGGTATTATCCTTACCCTTCCTTACTAATGACAGAAAATTTGAAGGCCGGCAAATCATCCTAAGTTAATTGGGACACTGACACTTCTGATGGCAACTGGCAACAAAGAAGTACCTAATGGCTCAAGGTCAGCAAGATGATTCACTCACACAAAGGCATCCCACTCTAAAATATGGACTTAAGTGTGGCACACCTACCCAAAGCGCTCCTGTAGTCGAACATCATCTAGGTACTCGTCTACTTCTGAGATGTCTACTTGCTTCTTCCATGACTTCTTCTTGTTCCGAGGAATGCGGCCTTTACTCTTTGCCCCCATGTTAGCGGTTCCTGTAATGTCGGCAGAATTGGCAAAATTGACACTTCTGGGCTATTTTAAAATTTATAACAATTCGTTGGGCAAATATTCATATTGAGAATATTTGTCCAGATTCCAAACATAAAACAGTGATCTTCTGATCGATGACGTGGGTACAGGTACGCTTTTTTATTTTATGTGAAACTGCGCCGCAAGCCGTGAGTTCCGGCTAGATGCTAGAAACAAGCCTAACTTCCTAACAACATAAAAGATCTTATTATATAATATATTGTGAAAAATCGCAATAAAACAACAAAACAATGTGAATAAACAGTCATACTTCCACACCAACCTGCAAAAGGACCTTATCATAATATTAGCTTCGCAGCAAAACACACGCACGGGGTAAATGTAGCAAGAGCGTCAAAATCACGAACGATAAGCCTCAGGAAGCCGCTACTAAATAGATTCGAGGTGATTGCCAGCCCTCGTTTCATTCAGTGTCCATGGGTTCATGAAATCTGCACGACTGTTGGAAACATCTCAATGCGGATTGCGGGTGCAAAGACAATTGCTCTTTAAAAATTATATAGTTTGAATCATCAAAGACTGGAGTACTCTGCATTCTATTGTGATCTCCGGAGTCTGTCTGCTCACATTCGCAATGCGAACTGCATTGCGAGTGCGACGGCTATGCTAAAGCTCAGGCAAAAAGTAGCTACACTGTGAAAAATGTTAACTAATTTCTAAGCTATTTGGCGACTTTTTACTAACAGAATGCGAGCAGTGTGGTTCACCTACACCACCATTTGTTACACCACAAAGCTACCCTGTCCTGAAGAGGGCGAGGCGAGGATGATGCATGTGCATTGTATTTGTGACGTTACGTGAGCCTAATGTCAATCAGCAATAAATCGCCAGACTATCAAAAGATAACAGCACCGTGCAACTGATGCATTGTTCTGGACAAACCTCCAGAGAATAAACAGGTTAGGTCCAATTTGTTCATCACGCCCCCTTTGATCACTCCACCACTTATAATCAATACCTGAAGTGTTCAAAATAAAAAATATTCTATTTCACATTCAAACACAGCATCACCGTATCACAATGTCTTGAGGAACTCATTATAGGAGGCGACCGGCACCTGGGCCACGTCGCGGCAGAACTCCTCGTCGGTGGTGCCCACCAGTCGGTCCAGGCTGACGTAGCCGGGCCGGCTGCGGTCGTACTGGTCGCGCCGCAGCATGTTCAGCATCAGGTGCCGCTGCCGCACGCGCCACGAGCGGTACGTCAGCACGTTGGGCGACTCGGCGATCAGCTCGTGTGTCAGGCCCATCTCGTTGTGAAGGTACTGAAGTCGGTCCTGCAGCGCCCAGCGCGACAGCATAAACACCTTCGGCTTCCCCAGAAGGATCTGCTTCAGCTCTGCACGCTCAAACCCGAACTCTTCTTTGATTGCGAATAGCGAGTCCTGCAAACATGGTTCACTAAGCTGCAGACGTGCATACTGGAACTTTTTAGTGAGCATTCAGCGAAAAAGGAAAGTTTATGCTCTGAAGAAAACATGCAAGCTCCAGCAGCTTAGAAGGGGAATATTCAAATGCTGAGCCAGCCGGTGAATGAGAACTCGTTTTTTTTTTTAAATCTGTAGGTATTTATTGGCGACTATTTGCTCCTGTGAATGCGATGGGACTATATGCGATGGTTGCCAAACCTTTCACAGCGGTGTCCAGAAACTAATATGGATAGGAGCAGATCGAGAAAAATTCCCTTAGACAAGCTTTGATTAAAAAACTCCCATACCGAACGTGATCAGTGAACACACTAGCCAACTGTGTCACAAACGTGCTCCTAAGCACCCACCTTGACGTGTTGCACGTTGCTGGTGATGAGGTCCGGGCACTTGGCCGCTAACTGTCGCAGCTCGGTCGCTCGGAGCCCGAACAGACCAGCGAACAGACCCAGGCGACGGTCGATGCGCGCCGTGCTGAACATGAGCCAGAAGGGGTCGCGGGAGAGCACGGATGAGATCTGCTCCCGGGTGAACCGCTTTGCCTCCAGATAGTTGACCCGCACCTGGGCCGGGACAGGGAGAGGGCAAAGCGATAGCATCGGTGGTCAACGGTTATTGCATCAGGAAGTGCTGTTTGGTATTAGCTACTAAAAAATGATATCGCTGAAAGTTCGAAAGCAAAACGGAACAAAATAAAATGTTGGATAACCCCTAATTGTGTAACCACAAAACAATTGTGAAATCAATTTTCTTCGGAGAGTTTTCTATGACATACACTCAAAGACCACAAGCGAACTCAGACGGCTCAGACGGCAATAATTGTTCAAGGTAGGTACGTTTTTCGGCTACTAGTCGTTTATTGTTTTCGTTTCGTACCTACCTTGAATTAAGATGTCTAGTCGTAAAAGCTTGAAATCATATATGGCAATAATTTTGTACCTGGAGATCGTCGAGTCGCTCCTTGAAGATGAGCGGGTTGCGCGTGATGAAGGCGGCCAGCCGGTCACTCGGCACGCCGGCGTCGTGCAGGAAGCGGATGCGCGGCGCCATGTCACGCTCCCACTGGAGGCGCAGCACCAGCTGCGGGATGCCGGGCCGCCGATCCCAGCCGGACACGTCCACGCCGAGCGCCAGCAGCCGGCGCAGGTCGGCCGAGGCGGCCACGAACGGCGCCAGGCCGCGGGTCCGCACCGGCGCGCCGCCCGCCCGCCCGCGCTCCACGGGGAGACGGTCATCGCTCGGCGCTGGTGGGTCTGACTGCGGCGGGGCGCTGGACAGACGTGCTGAAAGTGACTTATCATGACTGGGATCCGTTTGAGACTCACAGGCCAGATGAACAAGCTCAGAGTCACACTTGCCAGCATCATTGCTGATTTCATGGGAAAAAGCTATGGCAGGTGCTGTTTTTGTTTTGGACAGGAGTTTACTGTCATCCAATGGATGTTCTGAATGAATGCATCTGGTGGAAACCATGTTGGCACATGCAAGATGTAGAGGTACATAGTTGGCTTGTTTCTTTGACCTTAAAGCAGACAACACACTATAACTTCTCTGATGATTGGCTTCTTTCAATAATGGGTGTATTGAGGAGCTGAGAAGAAATCTGGGCTTCACTTTTGCTACAGCTGATGTCCACATTGTATTTCTGAAAGCAAGAAATAATTTTATTAACATGATACATGGTATCAGATACCATGGAAGAAGAGGAATTTATGCATAACACCAACAGGCAACACATTCCAAATGTTAATGACGTTTACTCAAATTTTTTGGACATTGGATTATTTGGAGGATTATGGATCAATGGATTCAACCTGAACCATTGTTTGGGTTGATCTGATCATCCATGGTCCATTACTAAAGCACCAGCTATGCAACTTGCAAGCTAATGAAGTAAGTATTTATCATCAATTATCTGCATGGCATACTGGTTTTGTTATACAACATTAATTAGATCAGCTAACATCTTAACAAAAATATGTGATCACCACTAGAAACAAATATACCTAAATAAATATTCATGAACCAGAACTAAGAACAGCTGACAGGGCATTTAAACCCTCATAAACTATGCATTAGGTATAATACTATCCTTGATTTTGGCACTACATGCCTACTACCTACCTACCTACATAGGTCTCTATAAAATGTGGCATTAGTAGACCAGACATCACACAAAGGTTTCAGTTTTCCAACTGAGGAGAGGCCCTGGAGGTTTGTAGGTTGTAGGGAAGGTTTGTATGTTTTTAGGTTGAAGGTTGTAGGTTGTAGGTTATGTTAGGTTAGGTCAGGTAAGGTTAGGTTTGTTCAGGTTTTGTTAGAAAAAAGCACCTCCAGGTATATCACCTCTCTTCAGTTAATAAACCTAGTGAAATCTGCTCTACTAACGTCTAGAACGTAACACAGACACACTGCAAGAATTTAATTCTTGAAACAATTTTTGGTATTCGTATATATTAGGTCCGAGTGGACAATTGTGACGCTGTTGATACAAATATGTAACAGCAAAAAATTTAGGTTTCAGGTTAGGTTAGGTTGTAGGTTTGTAGGTTTTAGGTTTAGGTTTTTTGGTAGATTTGTAGGTTTTAGGTTGTTAGGTTGTAGGTTGGTAGGTTGTAGGTAAATAGGTAAGGTTAGGTCAGGTTTGATTATGTTTTTTCTTTTATTTCCAAGACATATAAGTATCATTTTTGGATTCAGGATGTCAAATAATGTAGGAATATGAAAACTTTATCTTTTAACAGTCACTCGGACTCAATGTAAACTTTTACCCAATTTTTCAATACTCATCCGCTCTGGGTTTAAAAAACGAGGGGGAAATTTGCAAAGCAAAAAAGTCTTAGAAGTTAGAACCAGCCAAAATAAAAGGCCTTCCCTCTTGAACTAGCTACACTGACATATCAAGATCGACATCTTGTTGAGAATGTGTAGTAGCACCTTTAGTGCCCTTTAGTGCTTTATCATTATTGACTCTTTTAGTGCGCTGGTTTGGCCATGGTAGCACCTATGGATAAGATTGTTCTCCAGAATTAATTATATCCTGGTTCTCCAGTGCAGTTGGGGAAACTACGAGGAGCCAAACAAAAATTGGATTAGCCAATCAATGGCTGGAGTGGGCGGGGCGATGACCATATATGGTGATAAAATCAGACAACTTCATCTTTTCAATGCATCCTAGCATTCAAATGAAAAAATAAGGCATAAGAATGTTTTTTTAACCACACAAGGCCCACACTCACTCGGTGCACAATTAACTGGCGGCTCCAAATCGCAGAGTTACAACACAAGGTCAATTAGTGATGGGCAAATATGACGGATTGAAACAGACGCGCCAAAAAATGTAAGCAGTACCGTGGTTTAAAAATGTCATTGTTTTTATTATTTTGTTTATGGTTTTTCTAGTTGTGGTTAAGTTATTATTTTACAATTAAATATCTTTGTTTATTGTAATTAAATTAAATCTATTAACAATTTTCTTTGAAAAAACCAATCCATTTATTGAATGGCCAGCTGATTGTGACGCCCAGAACCTGCAGAAAAGCCGTTTTCCTATCGCCATTTTCGAGTCAATTCGCCGGATTTAATCAAATCACGCTAATTCCTAGTGGAGAATGGAAGCCTTTTCTCTTCGATAAGTGGACGCAATACCGCAAGTACCGGCTTGTTATACCGTTTTTCACCCTTGGTAGCGGGGGCTGTATTTATGCCCATATATGGTCATCAAAAGTCCATTTATTGACCAATCAATTTTTTGACTTACGCCTCGTAGTTTCCCCAACTGAGTGCAATGCAACGTGAATGTGACTGTGAGGCGATGCATTATTTATCGCTTCCGGATCATGAAGCTAACTTGCAGCAAAACATAAGGTTGACATTTTGACTGTTGACCAATCATGGTCCGCCAGGCAAAGTCACCTGTGACGTATCATCTTTTAGATTCATTTGAATTGCGCGAAATTTTCTATTTCACGTAAAAATTTGTCTCTTTTCAATTGATTGAAGAAGAAAGCTCAATCAAAACCATAAATAAGTATTAGCTGAAACTCGAGTGGTGTCAGCAATATTGTATCGACTGGATCAGTGGCACATTGCAATAATAACAGCTAAATAGCATTTTCAATCTCAGCAGCCTTAGCGGCACATCGATGGCGCACCAGTTACAAAACAAATGCAAAGTGGCTGCTTGTAGTGGTCGGTGGGCGAAGGTGTCATAATTTTTTAGATTAATTTGTCCACTTAAGTTCAATATAGGGTTAAAAGATTTTAAAAAGCACGATATTTTTGTCAATTATTGTCTTCATCATCGTTTGCACCGGGCGCGTCTGTGCAGATTTATTGCCGTGCTATCAACATTGATTATTGAATACTTACAAATAGGTTTACAAGACTAGTCGTCAAGACTGTCATATTTAATCCCAGGCAATACCGTAATAGGTATATTAATGATTATAAAAAATCGTTTAGTGGACTGGGGTCAGTCTGCTAAATAATTAATTTTCATAGGTTTACAAGCTTTGCATTTTGCTGATCATGCATGCATGATTGTGATTCAATCACTGCTTGATGGGCACACCACCAGTGGCGCAGCCAGAACTCTGGCGACGGGGGTGAGAGACGTTCGCGATGGGCCCCCCAGCAAAGTGGGCCCCCCTCAATCAAATGGGGCCCCTTACCAACAACGAAAGGTCAGATCATTGTCATCCTTACCAGCCAAATCGGGGAAAAGGACAAATAAATATCTCTTGATCTGAAGAGGCACGTAAAAAACAACAGCATATTTACACAAACACGATCATTCTGTCCATATTTGATAGACAGCGTGCAATTGATGGCCAGCGGCCACTCAAAGGGTCGGGCTAGGTCAAAAGGCTTTTAAAAGAGCTCAACATCAGTTTTTCGACTATTACTTTTGATATAGGAGACGAGGTAGAGTTATGACATTGTCTTGAAGGTGTTAATCATCCATAAGGATCGGTTGATGACCATCATGAACTTCTCAAGTAAGGGCATGACCTTGATCTGCGGTCACATTTTGAAGTTGAACTTTTTATGTGAAATTATAGGTAGCTCATTCGATGCGTGTTAACAAGAGAATGATGACAAAGTAAATGTCTCATAGTTTTTCTCACCAAAGTCCTTGCAAAAATTCTTAGCAAAACTGTTTTGGTAAAATGTGACTATTTAGATGGTTTTGCCGGTTTTACCCTCTACTCTGTTGCCAAACCATTGACATGAGGCATTGAGGTTAAATCTTAAAAGCGAAGGCGTTTTGAAAGGCCTATCGAATGAGTTGTTCCGCAAGGCTCTAGCTCTTTGGTGCACGAGTTTTACGGTTATTTGTGAAAAATATAAAAACAAGAATTTTTTCGTCGTAATCTTGTCTTTATGTTTATCATAATTTTATCATAATTTCATCTTCAATGACATCAGCGATGACCTAATCGAAAAATGACCTCTACGATTCTGAAGCATCCTACGTATAGCTATCCGTTGCTTTTCTCGTCTTTCTAGCCGTCTTAAATTATGATCGGGTTTGGCCGATACTCCCCCCCCCCCATGGCGGATTGCACGAGTTAGAGAGCTATCGAACCCACTTTCAGCGCGCTATAGCTTTTTATGTCCTTGAGTGTCGAAATAGGCGAAACTTTTCCTTCCATGAACATGATGACGTGTGCTTTGGTCTGAACTGCAATATGACTGAATTAATTTTTCCATGATTTTCGACGCTCTTTAGAAAGCCGCCTACCGCCGCACTTGTCGCTACGTGACCCTGGAGTCAGGTTAGAAGGGAATACTCAAACACCCCTCAGGGGCGTAAAACTGGAAAGCCTGGGGCCCTGCTCTGCGGGGCGCGGTCAAGCTAGGCTAGAGCCAGTTTGGGATATTTACAAGCCCACGTAAAGCCCTCAAGAATCTGCATAGAGCACAGGCCTTCCAAGACTTCGGGGTTTAGATATCGACAATCGACATGGTCTTTTGAGGCCTGCGTGGTGGCTATCAGAGGTCGGTGGGCCCCTCAAAAGCCGGTGCAGGAGCCTCAGGTGTCAGTTTGGAGCCATCATGGACCGGTGTGGGGTCCTGATAAATACCTAGGCGTCAAACCCCAAGACGTCGGGGTGGGGCCGGGCGGTGAGGCAGGCACAGGTCTGAGGAGAAGATTTTCAGATGTCGGCTTGGCAGGGCCCTGCATGGCTTTCTCAGAGGCTGACATAATGTATTGCGGGACCTCCATCATAGGCAGCGGAACGGGGAGGGCACCGGGGCACCGTGCCCTTCTTTGATTTTGGCATTTTAACATAAGCGCTATGGGCGTTGCATGGAAAGAATGGGACCAAAAGTCGGCAGTCGGCAGTGCAAAAGTCCCCCCTTAATCGAAGGTGTTCCGCCGCTTCTGACCTCCATGAGCCTCAAAAACCTGTATGGGCCCCCTCAAGCTTGGGGTAGGCTTCCTGAAGCATAAAATCTCTGAGTCTTGAGATGGGCCCATTAGACATGAACTTGGCCATCAATATACATGTGGTAAGTTGACCTATATCAAACATGATATCGGCTCAATCAGGATTGGGGTAGGCCCTCTCAGACCCAGACCAGGCACGGAGTACGGACCCTCCCACACATAGGATGATCCTTTCATTCCTGGGATGTCTTCTCATGCCTGAACTGGGCCCTCTCAGACCTGAAATGGGCCCTTCTCAGGCCAGCAGTAGACCCTTTCAGGCCTCAAATAGGTCCTCTAGGGCTTGAAATGTGCCCTCAAGGGCCTGAAATGGGCCCTCTAGGGCCTGAAATAGGCCCTCTCAGACCTGACATTAGCCCTCTCAGACCTGAAATGGGGCCCTCTCAGGCCTCAAATAGGTCCTCTAGGCCTGTTTTAGCCCTCTCAGACCTAAAAAATGGACCCTCTCAGGCCTGAAATGGGCCCCCTCAGCCCGGAAATGTCGAAAAAGGGCCCGCTCATACCGTAACTGGGCACTCTCAGGTCTGAAATGGTGCCTGAAATGGGCCCCTCTCAGCCCTCAAACGGGCCCTCTCTGGCCTCAAACAAAAACTGGCCTGGCCCTCTCTAGCCCCAAACGGGCCCTCTAGGGCATGAAATGGGCCCCCTCAGGCCTGAAATGGGCCCCTCTCAGGCCTGAAATGGGCCCTATCAGGCCTCAAACATGCCCTCAAGGGCCTGAAATGGACCCCTTCAGGCCTGAAATGGGCCCTCACAGGCATCAAATGGGCCCTCTCAGGACTAAAATGGGCCCCTCTCAGGCCTCAAACAGGCCCTCTAGGGCCTGAAATGGGCCCTCACAGACCTGAAATGGGCCCTCTCAGGCCTGAAATGGCCCTCTCATGCCACAGAACGGGACATTCTAGGCCTAGGATTAGTTCAATCGGGTCTTGGATGTACCCTCTTAAATCATAAAATAGGACTATGAATCCTAAAGGGGGGGCTATCAGGCCTGAAAACTGTTTTTCAGTCGTATGACGGACCTTGACATTATGGTAAAAAATTGTCAGGCTGCATAACGTTACAGTTCGAATCGACGGTGGGCCCCTAGGATAAGACGTGGGTGAGATCTCACCCCTTTCACCCCCCCTGGCTGCGCCACTGCACACCACTAATCACTATTTGTTCTGGTTTCAGTTTGTCAAATTTACCATGTCAAGCAAGAGCTCTGGTGATTTTCCAAAAGACCTAGCAGTCAAGCTAGGTGAAATGGACAAAGCCCTCAAGAATTTGGAAAAATCACTTGATCCCTTCCTTTCTACTCCTCTAGAAGAATCATATCAGTCAGTACGTGTCCAAACAGTTCAAGATTCTTCTACCTGTGTTGTGGTTGCCTTATATTGGTATAGCTCATGCCAATTTCTACTGTAGCTTGGTATCAGTCTGCACTGTAACCAAACCAAAAGTTTCTAACCTTTTTAGAGCTTTTGTTTGTAAATTTTGCCATTGTATCAGTTAAAGCTATCGTTGTGAGTTTTATTTTATTTTTTGCTTGAACAATATTTTATATCCAGCATTCAGCAAAATGTGTTATATGTCCATCAGGTGCATAATATGCATTTGCTTTGATGTCAGTTATTTTTGTGTGAAATACTTTCTCCATGCTTTGCAGATGACACCACTTCAGCGTGCCAAGTATGATCTGGTGTCAGCTTATGCCATGAACTCATTGTTTTGGAGTGAGTACCCACTGCAAAAAAAAACATCACCACTAGTAACTGTTTACTGAGGGCAATTTCTATCATATCTTTATAGCTGGTGATTACCAATCAGGATACCTATGCTTTAATAATTATTATGTTTTGGTAGAGGAAGGTAGTGGCTACTTAATGTATTCATCTTTTTATATTACAATTCACCGTATTCTATAGTATGTCCACTGAGAAAGTTGGCAAGGACTGAATGCATGTCAGAAAGCAATGTGAATGTTACCTCTCAGTCTCTGCCTACCTTTCCATCATCAGCAAACATTTCAACAGTGTCAGTGCAGTGCTTTGGTCACTTACTGTTTATGTATCCATTCTTTTAAAAGGTTTCAGGTTTGCCTATTTTTGTCAAAAGTGAAAGTTTCTGCTATTTCACTTGGAATCTTTAATGTAGAATATTCAACAGGCATTTACTTCATACCAACTGATATTTACTTCTACTTCAGTCAACAACAGAAATTAGCCAAGCTGATTTCCACCTTGCTCTTCAGGTCTGTGCGCTTGTCCACATCGGGTGCTGAATTCATGTCGACGCCGCTAGTTCCATTTATTTGTCAAACAGTCTCATCATTTGGTATCCACGCTGCGCTGTGGCGGTGTCCCCGCGTCCCCTGCGGACCGTTCGCCGCGCGCTGACCGTGCAGTGTCCCAAAATTTGTCAATTTGGGTGGGAACTGACATCCAAATGAAAATCATTTTTCACTCTCACCTTCTTCTTTTTAGATCGATTTTCCACTCCTAATTGTAATGAAAAAAGCATTCGAGCGGATGTTCATTGTATAACATACGTTACCTAATACCTATATTACACATGCATACAAATGTAGGATATTGACCTTTTTCACTCTTTTTGGGATGCAGCTGGCCGGCAATTTTCCACTATCATCTCCTTATTTGGTGAGGAATTTCCCCCTCTGACACCCAAGCCCAAATGCAATTTTGGGACACTGTGACCGTGTCAGTGTGTTTGGTTCCAGTTTATCTGCGCACCCGCGGCGAGGACACCCAGGAGCACGGCATAAAGACGGAGCTGGAGCGTCTCAAGACCACCATGCTGCGCGTCAAGGAAATAGAGGACAAGGCCAAGGCGATGCGCGTGGACCGGCCCGCCGCCCACCGCATGGTCTCCAAGAGCCTGTGGCAGGCCAAGGAGAGGGCGCCCAAGGGCACGCCGGGTGAGTACCGAGCGGTGCGAGGCAGTTGATCTTTTCCACCAGTGCTGAGTGCGGGGGTGGGCGACGGCCGACGAGAGTGCGATAATGAAAGACCGAACAAGTCAGCTCAATGAGTTCGTTTTACACGTTTGTACTACATAAATTGCACAATTTCCTTAAAGTTGTGTGCACTGCACGACCTGTATTTTTCTCGATGTGTTCTTGATTTTTTGCATATTCCCTCTACCCACGCCCCGACCGAAAGCACTAATTAGAGATATAAAAAACACACATTGACGTGTTGTCTTTAGCTAATCAGAGGACCTGTTTTTAATTTACAGACGAAGGCAAGCGTTCAGCTGACGCATCAGCGGATCACGCCGTGAAGCGGAAAAAGAAGACGTGAGTTAAAACCTAACGTGCTTTAACTGCCATGTGGATTCATCGTATTACCGTATTACGTGCGTCGTCATCATCCATTGTCGTATGCAATAAACCTTACAAACCACACGAGTATCATTTTATACAAACAAAACGATAATTCATCACAAGCATTCTGCACTACATGGAACCTCGGTATGTATGTAGTTGTACAAGAAAGAGGCAACGCACACACCAAACTCGTACATGAACACCGTGTCAAAGAAAACATGGCCATTAATGTCCGGGAGGTCTGTTGCGTCACTTCCCTGCCTTCATGGCGGCCATCGCGCTTTCGTTAGCGATCATCTGGTGTTCCTGGAAACGCTGTGATATCCGGTTGCTGGCCTTGAGGAATTTCTCCAGACAGGAGATGGCACACTTTTCCTGTGAAAAGATAGTGGAAGGACCGAACGGGTCAATACTCGATGGCAATGTCATCAGTTCAGTGTAGAAAATGCTGCACATTTATCACAGTGGAGCCATGATGTACCTACAGCGCGTTTGCTTCTCCAACTACCACTGCTGATAGGTAATCGTTTCATTCATCCAACTTATCAAATATGAATGCTATATTCCAGGCCGTTTGGCGCCAGGGTCGTTCATAAATTCGGCTGAATTATTTCCAGTAATTCAATCGCCCTAAATATAATGATGGCGTACAAGGTAACGTTTAATCGATTCGAAGTCGTAAACTAAAAGGGATTGGGCGGAGCGAGAAGACGACCGTAGGCACGAAAAGACGACCATGGTCCTCTTCAACTCATAGGTGGTATAGCGTGTCATGGCTGACCGCAGCCCGGATGTATGGACTGCTAATGGGCTCACAAAATATCACAAATTTGGTAAATATGACTCGCTGCTAATGAACCATACAAATTAGTCAGTCGGAGGTCGTCACAAAATTATTTCATTACCTCTTTGCCACGGACGTCCCTAGAAGTGAAGTCCCAGATACAGTCTGTAAAACACATCTCAGAGATCTTGTTGAAATGCATGAAGAAATCTCTGATCTGAAAACAACAAACCTTGGTCAGGTGCCATAAATTGCCCACCATACCTACCATAATCTAGCAAGGTTTTATAATGGAAGGAAAGGCAATCAACAAATAAATATGGTAGTGCAATATTTATTTCCTGTTGATTCCATTTAGTGAAGCCACTACTGACCTTGGTAAGCTGCTCAGCCTCTTCCTGTGGACTGGCTGCAGCACCAGCAGATGGGGCTCCTCCAAGCAGTCCTGCCATTCTTATTTGGAACAGCAGTCGATTGCCTGGAATATAAACACATATATTTGAGTTCAAGAAAATAAATACAGTGTTACTCCACATTAATTAGTGAGCAAGTCCTGAAACTGCTGGCTCCTTAGTTCTATGTGCCACTGCTGCTGGGGGGATGGGGAACCTAAGAAATGTGGCAGCACTTCTCACCAAGGCCAGCAGAGGTGTAGGCTGTAGGAATGCTTTGAGAAATAAGGTGGGCATTTTGCCCTGTAATCTGTATTACCCTTCTCTGGTAACCTTCCCTTAGAACTCTTAGAGGAGCCAACAAGGATCCTTTTCCAAGTATTATAGCGGGGGTTAAGCAGGGTAATTCCTTATTCCGGCTGCGCAAAGGCACTACGGGGGAATACCCTATTGCATCATTAAAAACCAGCTTGCCACCTCAGCCCTGCCAGATGGGTGCGCGGCATAGTGGTTGGGGTACCTGCTTCGTGATATAAAGGTCTCAGGTTGGCAACCAGCTGGCTCATGGCTGCTGAAATTTTTGGCCAATTGTAGGTTTCTAGGCTGTAGGTTATAGATTGTAGGATGTAGGTTGTGGTTTAGGTTGGGTCAAGTTTGGTTTGGTCAGAAAGAAGCATCTCCGCGTATGGCGCCTGCCGCCTCTCCTTGATTGCGGGAGCAAAACACGTGATTGAGCAGCATGTGGAAAATACAATACTCACCTATACCAAATCTACACACTATACACTTTCAATACCAAGCTATGACAATTTGCGGCCGACTAGTAGTGCTTTCAGAACCTTACGAACGCGTTGGCCACGGTGTGGAGGTTCCACCCTGTTCTAAAATCATGTTAGCTAGAGTAATTCTGTATGAGCAGCGATAAACTGTTAGTGCATTGGTTGTCACAAGGTTGTCAGCAGAAGTGCTTTCGCTTGTGTCGGTAATAGAACAAAATAAAATTGTCGCGTACTCGTCAGAAATGTTTTATATAGGGCTACCAAATTTAAATATGGTTTCATTTTTTTTTGTAATGTTTTTCAAGTTCACGAACCGCGCGCAGAGAGGGAGTCAAGCGAGTGAAGCGTCTTGAGCCAAGAGTCAAGGGTGAAGGGCGGGAGGCTGTTTTCGATATAAGACTTGATAGTTTGTTTTTGGGGTTTACTAGTGCTGGGGTAACAATTATTCAACTTAACATAGTTGCGCTTGCGGGACAGCAGCAGGATGTTTCAGTTGGGAAACATGGCTTCAGCTTCAGCTTCTTGTAAATCAGCGAATGATAAGAAACTGTAGCCTAATAATGGTAATAGGGTTGAATATATTGCCAAATGTAATTATAAAAGAATGAGGCAAGAGTTTTGGGCATAGCCCATTATCCAGTCTGACATCTTGCAGTTCTGAAATTGTTATGGGGCCTTTGACAGGGCCCACAATTTTGAGAAATGATTGTGTGCTTTTACAATAAACTATAAACTTAATTACCTTTATTATAACAAGTTTGTTTTAAACTGCACAATAGTGCATTAGGAATGAAAATCCAACAATTTTGGAATTGAGTTTTTTGTGGCATGCTCGGTGCTCCCCTGCAGCGCCCAAGGCTGCCTTTCTGAATCTGTAACTGATATATGATGCTAAGGAAAAGAAAGAATTGTGGGTATTAGTAGAGCAGACGTCTTACGAAGGTTTTCCAACCAAGGAGAGGCGCTATGCCTGGAGGTACTTCTTTCTAACAAAACCTAAACAAACCTAACCTAACCTGACCTATAACCTAACCTACAACCTACAAACCTACAACCTAAAAACCTACAACCTACAACCTACAACCTACAAACCTACAGCGCCTCTCCTTGGTTGGAAAACCTTTGTGTGACGTCTGCTCTACCAATTCCGAATAGTGGGCATTTGGCCATAGGGACTGATGATGGTATATGTGAAGATGAAGTCCAAGTGGTAGGTTGTAGGTTGGTAGGTTGTTTAGTAGGTTAGTAGGTAGGTAAGGTTAGGTGAAGTAAGATTATGTTTTTTATATACTTGGACTTCATCTTCACATTCCCTGAATACTGTTGGGACTCATGTCATGAGCTGAAACAGCCCTGATGCTAGTTTTATCAACAGAACAATTGTGAGCTACCATTGTACTTTGCCTTAAGTCAACCTGAATTTTGGCAGACATTTGAAGAATGACTGCTCATATGAAAAATTATGTAAGCTCTATACTATCCTGAAATGATTTACCTAGCTATGCATACCTAATTCTGATATGCTGTGGCAGCTGTAATTCCTCAGCATGGCTAGCTAAAATTTTGAGACTCCAAGAATTAAATACCCTCTGGCTGTGAATATACTAAATTACTGGCAATTTTAGTGCCCAGCACTTGTGCTGTTCATTGTTCAATTACCCTTTTTCACTGAGTTCTTTCTAAGTAACTAGAGCTTGATTCTGGTGGGTCAGGCTCAAGACCTCCCTATCTAGTTTAAGCCAGATAGTCCTAATAGTCTGAGCTAAGGTATGCTGTTTACTGTTGTGTTCATTTTTGTTTTTACATTTATGTTCCTTTTCAGACTAGTGACTACAAGTATGCTTGCTAAAAAGTAATCATGAAGAAGTTCAAGTTCAAGCCTGTGAAACTGAAACCAGACAGCCATTCTAATGCCTCTGGGCAAAAGACACTGTCATTCAACAGGTATGCCTGAAACTTTCCTGACCTTATAAGTTCTTCCATGATGTCAAAATATCCAAATCAGCCAGCCCCATGGGAGCTAAAGCTGTCAACAGTTGGTTTGATTGTAATCATGGGAGAGAACACATTTACTAGAGCCTACAATTTCAGAATATTTTTAATGAACCTTGACCCCATCATCAAATGCTATTACCACCAAGCAATCCTTTCTCTCAGCTGCTCATTGGGAAGTAGATTATGATGACCACAATATAGCTGTGATAGACCCTCCCACTCTATGTAAATGGCATCATTATTTTTAGCACCTACCTTAAGTTAATCCATGAATGTAATTGATTAATGAAGGCTGTTCTGGAGTCTGAACTGAGAGTCTGATATAGGATTTAAGTCGTAATACCTGAGTAACTAAAGCCTAAGCTCTCAAAACTTGGGAGTTTGACTAACTGGCAATTTGGTGTTGTTGTGTCCTCTGCAATTAGCTCTGCTCAGCATGGTTTCTGCTCTGGAAAGCCTCCCGTCCTAGCAGATATAGAACTCGTTGATAAAACAGTGTTTTTTTTGTGAACCCTGATTACACTGTGCTATACTTTCAGTGGAAATGCTCCAGCTTTGCTGACAACCGACGCCAGGCGCTCATTGCCAGCAGCGTCCTCAGCTCTGGCCAATGGCGCGGCCAAACGGACATCACTGCCATTCACCGCTCCCGCTCAGCCCTCTGGCGCGATCAGACAGCCCGCACCCCCACCGGCACCTCCTGCCGCGTCCGGCGGCCCGGCCAAGAAGTCCTCTGCTGCTGCCAGGCCAGCGGCCTCCCCGCCCAGGCGGCCCTCCCTGCCTCAGACCGTGGCGGCGCCTGTCCCCGCTCCACCGCGACCTCCGGCGGGTGGAGCGGATGATGATGAAGACTTGGATGATTTTGACCTCAACAGCAGCTTTGGTGAGTGATCTTACGAGGCAAGCCACATGTTTTCCACACAGATTTCTCGATTTTTGATGTTTCATAGCGTATGAAAATGGCTACTAAGAAATGTAGACACTGGTGTTTACTTTAATCCCAATGATTTCTTTCAGCTATGTTTGTGATAACTTATAAACATCGCAATCCCCGAGCATTGATCCCGTTCCTTGCCTTTGCCAGTCTCGGCCGAGCCGACTCGCAGTGTTGGCCGGCGTCGTCGGCGT